TGAGCAAAGGGGAGGTGGAACAATAGCTCCCTTCTCTCAGGAAGGTTAACCATCGCTGTGGGATGAGTCTGGCAAAGATTTCATACTGCCTTAATTCAGCTCTTTTTTTTTATTATTTTTTTTTCCCCCGTGGCATTTACATTTTCAATTTTTATATTATTTAAAGCTAGTTTTCAACTAAATTTGTCAGCTACTGTGGCACAGCAAGAATTCAAACAATGCAGCTCTTGCATTCTTTGCAGTACCTGCCTGGAGATAAACCCACACCTCTCCCCGCTGCTTAGCGCAGGTCTTTTTGGTAAGATGTCTCTGTGTCTTAGAATAGGATTCCTCATTACCCAAGATTATATCAGCTCCTGCTGATAGTTTTTCACTTCATGTCCTTAACCTTCTGTGGCTGACATCCCAATCATCTTTGCAGCAACTGAGCTGTCAAATGGAAGGCTGAGACTGCGATCAGAGAGAGCACCAGCAGGAAGAGAGTGAATTTGCATGGAGCAGAAAGCCGGTGCTTTTGTGCACCTCCCTGTTTATAACAGTAGAGGGGAAAAAAAACCCCAACAAAACCAAAACCCAAAAGAGCTGCATCTTTACAGTTAGAAGAGTGAAATTCTTGTGCAAAACAAAACATAGCTTCACTATATATCCAGTCTACCTTTCGTTTATTCAACAGTCCTTTCTTTTGTTTTCTCATTAAACAGGGAAGTTGGGTTGTGAATGGCTAATGTAAAATTTTAAGAGGAAAAAATCCACAACACAACCAAACACCTACAATTCTGCAATCCAAACTCTATTTTTTTTAAAACCAATTATATAACTGGGAGAAAAACAGCATCTTGGGAGAAAAATCTTATGAAAAGTGATTTGAGGGACACTAAGGCCCGCTCTCCGAATTCCCTTAAACTGCACGCCTCAACTTTTTTGTTAAAAGCAAGAAGATAAAAACCTCTCTCATCTATCAGAGTGAGCCGCCTTTTTCCCTTCCTAAGCACCTTGGTGAATTTCAGGCTAGATATTTCTAAATCACTGCTAAATACATTCACAGCGTGCCAGTGTTCAGGAGGACAGTATTGCTCAAGAGCGAGCTGTCTCAGCAGCCCAGCTGTATAAATATATACAGCCAGTTACAAAATCCATCTTTACCTTTTGATAGATTTTGCAGATGCGACAAACCAGGCAGGGGTTAGACATTAGCTCTACTCCAAAATGTTATAACACACTCTTCTGAAGCTCCTATTATGCAAGACATTACAAAAATGAGATTTTTATCTCAATACTACACCAGCATTGACTCCCGCTAACGATTTCTAAAAAAAGTTTAATAAAAACTATGGGTAGGCCAAACAAGGCTTTAATGTTGCTTTAGCCCCAGGCCGTCACTGGGCATTCATTTCACGAAATGAGACAGAGAGAGGATACATGCCTGCTGAATCGCAGCTCTGTCTTGAAGGTAGACTTCCCGCAAGACAAACCTCCTTTTTATATATGTAAGAGCAGCAAACCGCTCTCCTTCAGCCTGGAACCTGAGAGAGTAGCTGTTCACCCACCGACAGGAAAACTCCTCCGGCACAGTGCCCCCAGAGCCTGCAAGGGCTTAGTAAGTTGTACAAAACCAGATGCAAAATCCGTCAAACGAGTGCTGAGCTACCAAAGTTAAAGGTAACACAAAGCTTTGAACTGAGACTCGGTAATTGAAGGCATACTTCTTATTCCTTTGGGGAAAATGAGAAAAAACTCATGTATGTTGTTCTGAAGCGTTTGCGGGGACAAGGCTAGCAAAGGTAATTTACCACCAGTCACTCATATTTTAATCAGAACTGTCTGGATTAGCGAAGTTTTAAATACCACTCTGGTAACTACGCTAGCTTTTCCACTGGAACTACATTAACGTTAGCTTTTTTAAGTAACAAATGCTAATATAAGCAACAAAGCACTTGATGGCAGAAAAGGACGAAGGTTCATCCTGTTACCACGGTTTAGCCATATGTGGACTATGAAGTAAAATGAAAAGCAGAAAGCAAACACTGGGCTTTGTACAGCACGACTCTAATTGCGACAGCACATACAGGGCGATGACTACTTATTGTTAAAAGATGCCGAGTCTCTGATTTCTCTTTCAGGAGAGCCACACCTGAACGAAATACATATAATTAGCAGGAAAACATATTTAAGCGATATAGTAAAAACTAGAATAAGTGAACTTCCCACCAGGTAAGTATCAGTAATTTTTATTAAACTCTACTTTTATCTCAGGATTTAAAAGTTTAACTAAGTAAATTATCACAGTGCTTGCAGTAAAACCATCTAAACTGAAAGTGTACCATTCCTTCTCTTTGTTGTTTTAGAATCTCCTGGAGAAAGACAGAGTCCCCCTAACACATAACTCAACCTATACTTGGCTGTGAAGGAAGGAGCGGGTTGGTGCCAGTTACCCTACTCTGGTATCATAATAGTTGTGAACTTTGTTTTGCTCCTGCCCTCCTCCCCAGTACCACTGGGAGAGCATCGGGACTTCTCTGCTAAGGGGTGGAAGGAGGGGTCTGAGCGGCGAGGGAATCATGCACAGCCTTAGCACAGGGAAAAAGCGAGACCAAGGAACGTCAGCAGGATGGAGAAAGAATTTGAGAACGCTCGGAAACTGGAGCGTTCAGGAAGGGCTTAGGTGGGGGAAAGAAATGGTGAAGAAAAGCCCAAAGGCGGCTTGTCAGTGGGCAAGCGTGTGCATACACGCATGCGGGTCCCTGTATCTGCCCAGGGGAGGGGAGGCATGCAGCCTCCCTCATTTGTGTCATGAGTTCAGCCCCAAAACATGCAAATTCCTTGCAACAGTTATATGTACAGAAATCCAAGTGGCAGCATTTTGTCTTGTGTACACCTAGACCCCTAAAGCGTATGCGATTCAAGCAGAGGATGAAAAAAGACAGGAACAACTGTTCTCCCCTGCAATAAGCAGGTATCAGTCAAGTGATTAAAAATTTATTCCCACCCTACACATGGTATCCAAAGAAACAATACATACGAAGATCTATTCATCCCACGATTACACAAGCCTCCTGGATTTAGTATTTTGCACCATATGACAAAGTTCAAGATACTTTATTTGTTAGATACAACAGGTAAATCTCAAAGGAGAGCTCTTGAACATATGAAAAAAACCACGTCACTTAAGTGACCTCCACAACTTACACATTCCAGCAGCAGACTGTATTTATCATGTACTGTTTTAATGAAATTGTTAACCTTCTCTTGCAGATCTGCTTCTCTCCTTAAGGAATCTTTTGTATTTTCAGACATGGCTGTTTTGTTCATTCCACCACTTTATATTTACATCAGTCTCATCCCAAATTTTGTTGTCACACAGACTTCGAATTCAGTTGTTGTTTTCTAACTGTAAGAGTCTTTGCGGCCTATCTACATTTTAGAAGAACTTGTGCACAGCACAAATTAATGCAAATGGCTTTCTCAGTGTACATACTGAAGGATATGCATCCAAAGATTGTCCTGTCTGAACACATCTTTCAGTCCAGGCTGTAGTTTTAAACTAATTATAGATTTATAAAAAAGTGTACAAAAAATTATCCTTGGACCAGTACAATGTCTAAGACACAGCTGGTAAAGATGTAAAATTATTCAGGTATCTCTAACTCTGAAATAATATAGACTATTATGGTGTAAACTTAGGTTTCACAGAGAAAAAACTTTTTTTCTTAAATCAAGAACTCAGTAACAGAATAAATAATTTACAAGCTTGAGAAGATCTGCATCATTTCTTACACAAAGACTCGTTATCTCTAGTGTACAAAAAAGCTTAGAGGAACTAAGTATCATTTCTATCTGTGGCTGTAAAACCTAAATACCTGGGTTTGTTCACATAATTTCCCCTCTTAAAATCTGCTAGAGGTAGATGAAGATAGAACAAACCCCGAAATGTAAGGATTAAGATACTGCAAATAAATTCTAACCCAGCAAATCTAGCGAACATATGTCCTCACCGGATTTACTGAAAGCAGTTATTTTTTCTTTCTTTTTTTAGATAGAACAGCACTCAACTTCTTCCTTCCACGTTGTCAAAATCAGCGCTCGATACTGGCATAAAATAATTTTCAAAGCGTTCCTCAATTAGAGCAGAAGCAGGTCCCACCTCACACTCTTCAGTCACTCGATAAGTTTCCAGGGACCGTCTCTGCTGAGGAAACGCTGCCTACCCGGTACTGCCCAGAGAGCCCCTGGGCCTCCTCCCGCAGGAACAAAGCGGACAAATCCGCAGATCCCACCAAACTTCACTCCCAGGGAAAGGTGTGGGAGCGAGGGAGGTGGGGCTGATGGTAGGGAGAGAGAACTGGGCAACCTTCACGTCCATTACAGATGGTGACCTTTCTGAAGATTTCTCCGAGAGTATTTTTAGCATGGGTGTCTGCGTGCACGGGCTGCAAAATATTTGGCTATTACCACAAAACCAGAGATTTTATTAGGCTCATGAGTATGTACACGATCTCATGTAAAGCCTTGGTTTTGGCAGAGAGAAAATCATAAAGCAGTAACAGAATTTTCTAAAACACGAATGACTTCATGAATGTCCTGATAGACCAAAAGAAAAATTAAAGATTAACTGTTTAGATCTGATTTCCTGCTTTCCTATAGCTTGGCCTGTGGCTTCAAGTTTTCCAATGTCTCCTCTAGTCTCTCTCCACCTGTAATTTTACCTACATTCTTCAGCCAAAGTCTATCAATGCGTTGAAGCCAAAACACACATAAGAAAGCATACAAGAAATAGGATTGAGCTTGGCAGCCCTTTTTAAATCTACTGAACAAAGTATGTTTCCTCTTGATCCTTCACCAGACAAAAAGGAGGAAGCATCGTTACATACCAGAACATCTGCTTAAAGTGCCTCCAAGTTTCTTCACAACAGTAATACTGGCATGATCACAAAGACAAGATTCCTTTTCTTTCTCTCGCTCTGTATTATAAATGTAGCCATCGTGATCTCATTTGGTATGCAAAAAATATAATTACTTCAGTACAATTTCCACAGCAATTTGAAGTGTGCCTTCTTCTCTTTTAAGTTACCATTTAAATTTTATGAACACGATAGGACGGACTGAGATGTCAAACCCCAGCATTTTACATAATTCAGTTTGTTCGGTTTAGTTACAGAATAACAATCCTGGCAGTTAAACTAAAACCACAGATCTAAATGAACGAGGCAATTTTGTGCATTCTAGAATCAATGCATATTTCAATACTTGTTTTCCTTCACAATATTACTGATCTCCAGAACCCCTTGCTTTAGGGACGCTGAACCAATTTACTCTTACTGCTTTCCTGCTCGCTAAGCTTGAAGTGGGTGTAAGCTAAAATGCCCAACAGTGTGCACAGAATCCCAAGGCCTTGATTAACAGACAGTGGATCCTTAAATAAGAGGCACCCTCCCAGGAGCGTGATGCAGAACTTGAAGTGTCCAAACATGTTATACCTAGACATCTGTTAAGGGTAACAGCAAATATCCGTGTTCTTATTTGTAAACAGAAACACCCGGGAACTTCATTGCAAAGCGTGCAATGGTATGTCACAATGACTGCAACTCATGCAACTTTCCTGCATCTTTGCAGCTACGAGAATTAACCTCCACCTAAAGCCTTTCACCCACCGGACACTACAAACTAACCGACACGCCGACTCTTCCTCAAAGTAGTGCAAGTATGGGTAAATATTCCTTATAGGTATAAAGGTCACGTCAGTTAAGTTAACCACCGTTATCTATACAAACCCCGAACAAAGAAACATAATACACTAAAACACGAAGGTGCTTTTCCAGCTTCATCATTTAAGATAAAGCAGGCAGGTTACCAAACAGTTTTCCCACGGTAAATCAGCCTGAATGAATGCTAACACAATTCATCTGGAAAGCTGAGAAAGAACTAACGTTACAAAGGATACGTGACAGGTGATGTATTTCCAATGATCCAGTAAATGGACAAGTTTACCATAAAGGCTATTACTCCAGACAGCAGTACCATTATCTGTGAATTAATGAACACAGTCAGTAATCTGACATGCTTTTGGGCATTTGTAGATACACTTCAGGTTATTTAGTTAGTTTCCTTTACTTTCAAATGGAAAGTATCAGGCAAGAAAAACATACGGAGAACAAAAATAGAAACAGCTTCAAATCAGTACAGACATTGGCGATGTGTATAAATAGTTCAGGCTATGATGTCCATAAATATATATTGATATAACCACAAGCCTTTTCTCTCAGTGAAGATTTTAAGAGTGATTTGGAAAATCTGGCTACTCATACACATAGAGATTGTAATCTTTACCTTTGAAACAGTCTTCTTTACGGCCACAACAAAAACTATTTCGGAAAAATCTCCGATTTTATTATTGTGAATACTTGCTATCCCATTCATGAACTGAAGCGCTACGAGAAGTGACCCATCACTGAGCGACATGATCAGCAGTGGTAAGAATATGCCACTGGCTCTTTTTTTGGACAGAAGGATAGCGAAATTATAGCCTTCTTGGTGAAAATAAATTAGCAGTTCTAGAGAACGACCAACATTGGCATCCTTCCACAGAAGAGGAGTTGAGAGTATCAAAAGTGAGCATGCTTATCTCTTTTCTGAGTGGACAGTAAGAGCTGGAACTAGGGCACTTACATATTTTTAATTTAATACACTAGGGGAAGCTTCTGGATTTTGTCAGATTTTCCTGTTGTTCAGATGCCCTCTAAACAGAAACAAGAATAAGGAGGTAAATCAATTGACAGACAGACTCCTCTGGGAGGAAGTGGGGCAGACACAACAAGGGGTTTGTTTTTGTTTCTTTTTCTTTTGCACATGCCCCTCTCATCTCATCATCGCAAATAACTGTACAAAAATCTGCTTCACAAAGAAACAGATCTTACTATCAAATTTAACTACATCAACGATGATTACTTACTTAAACAAAGTCAATAAAAGCCTTACCACAGCAGAAAGCGTCCAGGGCCCAAATATTCCTCCTTCTCCAAAGACTGGCTCAAAGAAGGGTATGATGAACAACAACATAGCTGAGGACATGGGTGCCTGATAGTACAGCAACTGCATGGAGTTTACCTGCAACTCATGCTGCTTAGCTCCTACCCACTAAAACCAAAAAGAGAAAGCTGTTAAATATGAGGGAAAAAAAAACATAAATGGAAAACTTTAAGCAAAAGTAAACTGGCTACTAACACAGAGGGAGTCTCTTGTGGACAATACTACATGAACAGATTGTTGAGCATCATCTTCTACCTTTGTTGAACTGGAGGCCTGTATGTTTGTCTCTTTTGAGCACACAAGCCATGTGAGGAGAAAATCATACGCAGGGGCAGTGAAAACCCCCCGAGTGCCTAAACCTTCCTTTTCCCATAGCCTGGGAGTAAAGTATTATACTTGAGGAAGAACAAAAAAAAGCAGCAGATCTGGGAAGAAAATGCCAGCTCTCTTTTATTCTCAACACAAATTCCAGATCCTGTCTATGATGGAGCTGAGCACCTTTGCCTAAGCAGAGATCTGCTTTTATTCCTTTCTTCTCATTTTCCTCCAGTTGCTCCTTTCTCCTCATTTTCCTCCACACACAAGCTAAAAAAAAATAAATGAGTAAATGTTTGGTTTTCTTTTGCCAGTTTATGCCAAATTTACTGGATTTCATTTCAATATTGACTATGATTGACTATAACTTCCATTTTCAATGTAGCATGCTTTAAGAGACAACATTAATTATCTGTGGTTATGAAGACAGGTGTTACAGGCAAAAAGATGCATCTTTATATCGTACTGAAGAATGACGTTTACTTTAATACTTCATAAAACATATTAATTGGTAACGTCGATTCCAGCATACAAGCTTGATAAGTTTTTTAAAAATTACAAAACAATTTCACTCAGCTACTGTCATTTCTCCAGTACACATACCACCACTTAAAGTTATTATGCAGCATCTCTCTCCTCCTCCTGCCCCAGGACAGGACAAAAAGACAGACTCCTCTGGGAGGAAGGGGGGCAGACAGGGGTTGGGTGTTTTTTTTTTTTCTTTTGCACATGCCCCTCTCATCTCATCATCGCAAATAACTGTACAAAAATCTGCTTCACAAAGAAACAGATCTTACTATCAAATTTAACTACATCAACGATGATTACTTACTTAAACAAAGTCAATAAAAGCCTTACCACAGCAGAAAGCGTCCAGGGCCCAAATATTCCTCCTTCTCCAAAGACTGGCTCAAAGAAGGGTATGATGAACAACAACATAGCTGAGGACATGGGTGCCTGATAGTACAGCAACTGCATGGAGTTTACCTGCAACTCATGCTGCTTAGCTCCTACCCACTAAAACCAAAAAGAGAAAGCTGTTAAATATGAGGGAAAAAAAAACATAAATGGAAAACTTTAAGCAAAAGTAAACTGGCTACTAACACAGAGGGAGTCTCTTGTGGACAATACTACATGAACAGATTGTTGAGCATCATCTTCTACCTTTGTTGAACTGGAGGCCTGTATGTTTGTCTCTTTTGAGCACACAAGCCATGTGAGGAGAAAATCATACGCAAGGGCAGTGAAAAACCCCTGAGTGCCTAAACCTTCCTTTTCCCATCGCCTGGGAGTAAAGTAGTATACTTGAGGAAGAACAAAAAAAAGCAGCAGATCTGGGAAGAAAATGCCAGCTCTCTTTTATTCTCAACACAAATTCCAGATCCTGTCTATGATGGAGCTGAGCACCTTTGCCTAAGCAGAGATCTGCTTTTATTCCTTTCTTCTCATTTTCCTCCAGTTGCTCCTTTCTCCTCATTTTCCTCCACACACAAGCTAAAAAAAAATAAATGAGTAAATGTTTGGTTTTCTTTTGCCAGTTTATGCCAAATTTACTGGATTTCATTTCAATATTGACTATGATTGACTATAACTTCCATTTTCAATGTAGCATGCTTTAAGAGACAACATTAATTATCTGTGGTTATGAAGACAGGTGTTACAGGCAAAAAGATGCATCTTTATATCGTACTGAAGAATGACGTTTACTTTAATACTTCATAAAACATATTAATTGGTAACGTCGATTCCAGCATACAAGCTTGATAAGTTTTTTAAAAATTACAAAACAATTTCACTCAGCTACTGTCATTTCTCCAGTACACATACCACCACTTAAAGTTATTATGCAGCATCTCTCTCCTCCTCCTGCCCCAGGACAGGACAAAAGACCATTCTTTATCATCTTGTACACTAGAGATCAAAGAGCCTCACTTATTTTGTAGGCACGGTACATCTGTCACAAAGAAATTCACATTTACATTGATGATGGCTATAATATCCACATGACAGGGGACTCTAATTTGTGAGGCTTTTACAGTCATGGCCGATAATGAACTGGTCCTGAGCTGTTAGTGCAATGTTACAGCAGAAAGGGCTAAGGCAGTCCTTGGACACATCTATTTTTTTTCAACCATTATCAGCCAGAAAGGTTATGTTATGTGTATGTATTAACACAGCCTCCACAAAAACACTTTAGACCGTGTATAGCCGAAATTGAAGAAGAATGTTGATAAAATGTAAATAGCTCAAGGATAAACCATAGGATTAACTGAAGGACTGGAAAATGTCCTTTCTAGGGAAAGGCTCCAATGCAAAGCACTTGCTTCAGCAAGGAGAAAATCTCTGCTCTTTAGAAAAATAGAGTTTTACTCATAAAGCCATCTTCACCCCTTGAAAAGATGCTCATGACCGCGTTAAAGATGACACCCCGAATTTTTTTAGCGGTGAGGACAACCTACTCCTTCCTTAGACGGTACGCCAGGGGTCGCGAAGGACCGTGACAATTTGTGGCCTTATTTTTAAATTAATAACGAAGCACAGAGGGTTTCCTGGGAGGCAGGGCGCTCTACGGTGACCTAACCGAGGGCCAGCAGCCTGAAGACCAACCCCACCACACACCCCCCTCCGCCACACACACCCCCGCCATTACCCACCACTTGGTAGAGGGAGGTCACCAGGACGCCCATGGTGGCGAAGGCCATGCCGAGGACGCTGAACTTCACGTCGTAGTAGGAGTTGAGGAAGACGCCCAGCGTGATGGGGACCTGTGGTGGTGGAGAGAAGGGGGATTTTTTTTTTGGCGGGGCGGGTTCTCCTCAGCCGTCGCCTCAGGCGTCGCCTCAGGACGGGCGGGCGGAGGGA